TAACTGTTAGGCTGATTTAAATGGCATAACTACAAAATGCAAGGAAATATATTGCTGGGGTCTTGTATTGATATGCTGCCAATAAAGAAGTGAAAAAATAAAATCAAAGAATGTTAAATGTGTAGTCAGTTTGTATATATTTGTACAGTGGAAATCAGAATAGAATAATAATTTTTATTTTATTTGGTGATATAGACAGTCCAACAGATATTTAGCCATTTTGTGTTCTCAGTTATGCAATTCACAAAACTCATTCTTACTCAAATATGGGTTTCTGTTCAACTCTTTGTTACTTCATAATAATGTAAACATTTGCAAGCCAAAGATGTAGCCGAAGGCTGCGCATGTAATGATCAGTCCAAAGATATTTTCTTGTATGTTAGTAGGGGGAATGAAACCATCAGACTTGTGCTGCATAGGTGAATTTCACCCTTTAGACTTTTACTTAGAATAAAATCACTTCTTCTATTTAAGATGGTGTTCTGTCAACAGTTTTCTTTGGTAGCACATCATTTGTATTGCTGTTTCCTATTGGCAAATCACATGTGTTTGTGGTTATAGAGAAGAAATGCCAAACATCTGTTCTTTTATTTTGGTCCTCTGAACTGTCACAAAACATTAAGACAGACCATAGTGCTTCATATGACTGCACACAACTGGCAAGACTTGTCAGTACTGACAAGAGTATTATATAAGGTCACAATACACTAGATGGACTACGTTATTAGGCATGGTCACCCTACTTGTTGCTAATCATTTCAGGCCTTAATGGTAGATCATCCAATCTGTGTTTAGGGTTATCTGATCTTCCATGACTTATCTGGGAAGGACTTTGAGGCATAGGCACAATGCTCTAGCATACTGGCTATAGTATAATTCAATACTGATGTTAATATAATTCTTAGAAGTAAACACAGTTGCAAGTAATGTATATTAGGTGAACATTATATACAGTTACATGTCATTTGCAAAAATATGTTGGTTTAACAGAAATAGAATATGGGATGTAATAACTCATATCTGTTTTTGGGTTTCCATTTTTATTTTGCAAAGGGAGGTGAGTTGGCACTTATTACTGTGTTATGGTGTTTCACTACTCTATGGGTAATAGTAAGTACACCACATCAAACTTTTTACAATGCTAAAGTGTCTTGGAGGATGAATACATAATTTCATCACTATATTATCAGAAAAAAAGTCTAAGACTTGTATAACTGCTCCAAAGATTATTGTTGTGTTGTGATTGTTAGTTATTACTTTGGCATTATTATTAATGCTCTTATCCTGTGATGGCAGAAATGAAAGCCACTAAACTTATTCAATATGGATATGAACAAAATATTAGCAATTATTATCATCAAAAGCTGCAACAATCTTCTCCAATATTCAGCAAGCTATGTTTGGCAGAGCAGTATGTTTTTTGGAAACTTTTGTACTTGTACATTCATTTCTTCTCCTTGAAAAGCATTTTCTCCATACCTTCATCTTTATTCCTGTGCTTTCCTTTTCTTTTATTTTTCTATAAAAGTGACAGTTATCCCCTCATTATGTATTTTGTTGTCATCTTTTGCTTCTATTTATTATGTATTTCTACCACTTACTCCCATTACCTTTTGCCACTTTGATAAATTATGTCTTATCTCATCTTGTTACTGATTTAAGTTATGCATTCTTTTTTTCTTGCATAATGATTATGTTTGTAATAATTATAATGACCAGATACTGTATTTCAATATATTTCCTTTCTTTTCTCATGTTTGCATTGTTGATAAGCATTTTATGGTGAGTTATGTATATATTCATAAAATAGAAAGTACAATCATGCTCCTTAGCCAGACTCTAACTGTTATTATAACTATCACATGAATCAATGAATGCATCATGCTGTGTTAAGGAACTTTTTTATGTCAACATGATGGAAATGCTTCCCTAGCATATATCACTCACTTATGGTACTCATTTGAGTTTTTGTACATGGCACCTGCAGGACACTTAAACACCATGTAAAATGGTAGCAGAATACCAAGCATGTGCTGGTGGCTCATACCATAATTAGGTTCACAAACCTGACTTTGTGTATTTTTCTGAAACAGTATTTGTATATAAAGTGCTCATATATAGTCTATGGATAGGAGTAATAGTACTACCTTGTTTTTAATAGGTTTAGGAAATTTACTGACACATGCCTTGTTCATCCTTAAGTATGGCTAAATAAAGCTGGTATACTTGCATATTTCGTAAGAATATTCAGCGTCAAGTCTCCTCATCAAGAGGTACAAACAAGGAATCAGAGGCTATGTTCAAGTACATGGCCCCTTTTTCTAGTCATTCTTGTGAGTCATTATGCACTGAGAGATTTTATTTACTTTTCTGGACTGTTTTTAAAATGTAGCATATATAGGATTATTTAAACATTATTTGCATACTGAGTTGCTATAAATTAATGGTTTGTATTGTGTCATGTAATTTTATACAGAAAATAAATTTGATATGCCATGTG